TAAAATATCGAGTCCGTCAACCGGGACGAAGAAGAGAAGAACAACTTTACCATATCAACTTGATGAAGAAATGGGTTGCAGCTCCAGGTCATCTAGTTGCCTTCTCAGAAGAAACTTCTCCCGTTGTCCATATAGGTGAGCAACTCTCACCGAATCAGAAGGCGGAGCTGCAAGCCTTGGTCGGTCAGTTCAGGGATGTGTTCTCAGAGAAACCGGGCCGAACCACCATCATCCAGCACGACATCATCACCCCACCTGGCACCACCGTCCGGCAGAGGCCTTATCGAGTACTAGAAGCTCGCCGGCTGGCTATTAAAGAGGAGATCCAAAAGATGAGGAAATTGGGAATCATCGAACCATCTCGTAGCCCGTGGTCCAGCCCCATAGTGATGGTCCCCTAACCCGACGGCACCCTCCGTTTCTGCAATGACTTCAGGAAGCTGAATGAAATTTCCAAATTCGACGGGTACCCCATGCCTCGGGTGGAAAAGCTGCTGGATCGGCTGGGTGGAGCCCGATTCATATCCACGATCGACCTCACCAAAGGCTACTGGCAATTACCACTAAGTGAAAGCGCCAAGGAGAAAACCGCCTTCTCCACTCCCGGTGGGCACTGGCAATACCGGGTTCTTCCCTTCGGGCTCCACGGGGCTCCAGCAACATTCCAGCGAATGATGGATATCCTGCTGAGACCCCACCAGCCGTATGCAGCAGCATACCTCGACGACCTTATCGTCCACTCCGAGTCATGGGAAGAACATCTATCCCGGTTACGGAGGGTGCTCCTTGATCTTCGTAGGGCTGGGCTCACAGCTAATCCCAAGAAATGCCACCTGGGTCTAGCAGAAGCCAAATACCTCGGTTTCCACATCAGTAGAGGTCTCATACAGCCACAACAGAACAAGATCAGAGCACTACAAGAAACTCCACAACCCACCACAAAGACCCAGGTACGTGCATTTCTGGGGTTAGCGGGCTACTATAGATGTTTCATTCCCAATTTCTCATCCATAGCCAGCCCTTTGACAGACCTGACCAGAAAGGGGCAGCCAGAGAGGATACAATGGAACAGAGAAGCAGATGGCGCGTTCCAAGCCCTGAAGACGGCACTAACATCCTCACCGGTACTGCACGCACCTGACTTTGGCTGCCCCTTCATTCTTCAGACAGACGCTTCCGACTCGGGCCTGGGCGCGGTCCTCTCCCAGGTCCACGGCGATGAAGAACACCCCATCATGTACGTGAGTCGGAAGCTTACCCCTGCAGAGACCGGGTACGCCACGGTAGAGAAAGAGGCCCTGGCGATCAAGTGGGCAATCCTGGAGCTCAGGTATTATCTCCTTGGCAGAAGATTCACCCTGGTGACCGACCACGCTCCACTTCAATGGATGTCAACAGCGAAAAATAACAACGCTCGAGTCACCAGATGGTTCCTGTCGCTCCAGGATTATAACTTCACAGTGCAACATCGAGCCGGGGCCTCCCACGGAAATGCCGACGGGCTCTCAAGGCTATGGTCAGGATGGGCAGGTCTGTCAAACCATTCTACCCCCCCTCTCAATACTCTACCTTTCCTCCGCAGGACCAGGACGACGCTAAGGGGGGGAGAATGTAGCGAGCGATTACATGCCACGTCGCCCTGGTCGCTAATTTCACCCAGCTGGACCATCATCAAGCCAGGATCGCTCACAGCTGGACGGCATCAAGCAGAGAAACATATAAGCCCAACCTACACCAGGAGAAGATGAGCTTCATTCTTTCTATGACTCCCTGTGCTAATGCTTGTCTCTCTGTCTCTCCATAGCGGACTCCAGCTCGTGACGATCCTTCACCCGACTACTCACTGTCCTTCACCTACTTCCCGGAGCACCAGAGCACCTCACCTTAAAGAAGAGCACCTTTTACACAACGCACAATTTGTAAATAAAGCACCCCTCCGGGGACTTGTCTGTAAACTCATCCTGTTGTGCCGCTGTTTTCCCTCTGCCTCGCTACACCGGCATAGGCTTTTTTTCCCCAATCATATGTTTTTTTCTTCCGTCAAATAAAAATTGCAGACTTCCTCAAATTGCCCGATCCACGGAAAATATGCATTTATTTAATCCCCCGCTGTTATGATTATAATAACAAAAACATTTACATTTTAATAGAAATCATTATTTTAAAGATTATGTCCTGATATAGCCTATGGTTTCCTCTCTCTCCCTCGCGGTTCAAGTGCGCGCGCTGCGTGATGAAAAGACAGCAACAATGCGCTCAGACTTTTTGTAAACAGTTTTGTTGTTTGAATATGATATTGCATTAATCTGCGTACATGCTTTAAGCTGTAAAATAAAAAGTAAAGCCTATTTGTTGCATTTATTACGCAGATCCAGGTCAACATAAGCGCTGGTTTAGCATCAACAGGTCTGTATCAAACAGCAATATTCTTCTTCCATTTTGCTTCTTTGGCAAATGTGTCAGCACGGGTTATACGTTATGGTCCCGCAAATTAAGTATGCCTTGCAGTTAAACAAGGGGCCGAAAACGAGGCGCACCTCACTGCCTTTATGTTGACAAGGAAAAAAGAAGAAGTGCGGTCCTCTTATGAAATGACTGAATCAGCTGGGTATCGATTGTGCAAAAGTGTTGCTGTCTGTGTTGTTACAATTGTAATATTTAATACTATTGTGATATTCAAGATTTGTATATTCATACAGCTCTGCATAACTTAAAACAGCGATTAGACCTTCAGAGCGGCGTTAATGCATCCTGAAGTAAAGCGAAATGGCTATAAACTCCAGCAAGATAGAGTGATTGTATGCAGAGCCATAAACCTTTATCTCTAAATAAAGTATAACTATAGAAACTGTGTTCATCTTAACTGAAAGCACCTGTCAGTCAGCACTCTCAAAGGTTCAAACAGAAATCGCACAGCACGGTTACAGAAAAGTTTGCGCTGTTACCTGACATCTGGTGAATGCCCATCCCTCTCTGCGCAGCCACATTAACAGTGTGAGCAAATCATCGTATATGCGCTGAATGCTTTGACAGCATTGGCAATGTTTCTGGCGTTGTCGGTTGTCAAGCGGGGTTAAGTTGGTTTTGTTTTTGATATCCCATTCAGACGGTCCCTTACTAAGAGCTCCGTGCGAGCTCTCCCGGCTAAATATTAGAGGGCTTAAACGGAGCAGTGCTTGTAATGTCGAACGAAAAAAAGTGTTAATTAGCTCATATTTTGCTGGCACGCGTGACGTTATTGGAAAGGTATCACGGGGTGTGTCGCGATTCTCCCTTATCACACCGCGACACAGGATCGTAGATCTGAGTGTCGCGATTTCGATTTTATATTGTGTATGTTACAGCCCTAATATATATATATATATATATATATATATATATATATATATATATATATATATATATATATATATATATATATATATATATATATATTTATATATATATATACAGAGAGAGAGAGAGAGAGATAGATAGATAGATAGATAGATAGATAGATAGATAGATAGATAGATAGATAGATAGATAGATAGATAGATAGATAGATAGATAGATAGATAGATAGATATGATTATAGCCATCTAATTTGCAATGTCATTTGCATTGCTATTGGTAGATGGCATTAGCTTTAGTCATTTAGCACATGCTTTTGTCCAAAGCAACCTACAACTGAGGAGGAATTTAGTGATTCAACAAGATGAGGCAATACACACAAGTAGTGCAAAGTATGCAAAGTAAAGATGTATTTGTTATTAACTTCGGGCATTTTCAATAGTTCCCCTGCAGGACTTTTCACCCCACGAGTACCTTTACTAACCACAGGTTTCATGCTGATCTTCATGCAGGTCACATCATTACAAACATTTTTGATTTAGTGTTTCCCAAATCCATCGTTCCAACGAACATTTAAAAACTGCATCGCAAACCTCTAGAGCTGTAGTTAAGAATAGTTCCTGGTTGTGTTCTATTCCCAGTTATCCACCTTATGCCCAACATTTAAACTCAGAATGATTTAAAAAAAAACATTAAAGTCATCTCTCTTAGGTGTCAATTGCTTTCAAAGTATTTTTACAGCTAGCAATCTTCATATTGACAATTCTGCTCACTTTGTAGTGCACTTTAAAAACATTTATGCCATATTGAACGCAGTCATGGCTCGTGAGCTATAGGTGACCTATTATTTAAAAGTTAAATTTACGTTACGTCTCCAAAGCTTGCCCTTACAAGCAATAACTGCAGTAAACTGAAGTACAATTGCAAAACTGTAATACAATGAAGTATAAACACAGTTCATATACAGCACAATACAGTTTAACAGCAGTATAAGTTGCAGTAAACTGAAGTACTATTGCAGTAGTTGTACTAAAGTTGTACTGTAGTAGTACTTTAGTTGTATTGCAGTAATAATGCAATATACTTAAATACTTAAATTTTTTGTGCCCAAAAAGACTTCAGAAGTTAACTAAAACTGCAGTATTCCTTTAAAAACTGCAGTAACTGTTTGTAAGGGTGTGAAAAATAAAATATATAGCAGTTTACGTATATTTGAGTTAATATAGAAAACGAGTGCATGTTTTTACTAAAACTAATATTGGATTTTTTTTACTGCTTGCATGTAAATACAGTTTTATACTATATATATATATATATATATATATATATATATATATATATATATATATATATTTATTTATTTATTTTTCTCTGGAGAAGTTGTTACTCCGTCATGTTAAGAGCGTCATTATAGAGGTTTTACATTATAACTAAAATGGTCTAAACGATGAATCTGCAACAACAAAACTACGATTTTGGGAAAGCACTTGTCACCACATAGTTCATTCTCAAGCAATGCATCATACTATGATCGTTCAGCCACTAGTTATGTCATTGTTTGGGAAAGCACCCCTGCTCAGTAAATATGGCCCTTAATATATTATGTCATGTATAACATTACTTAACCAAACTAAATTTAGCAGTAAGGACAAATTTGTGAGAAAAGGTGACTTAGAAAAGAAGTGTGTATTGATCTTACATTCAAGTTGTTTTAACTGGTGCCTGACAAGGCAAGAATTAAACAAAACAGTTTAATGAAGTAAAACACAGCTCTAAATTTTACATTTCGTAATCGATAAAACACTTATAACACTTTTCTCAATTCAAACAGCACCAGTTTCAATTTGTGAGCAACGAGAAAACAATAACAAAAAAATCTATATTTAGTTCAAGCTTTTGGACTTGCAGTAGTTATTTAAGTGGTTTCCTTCATCAGCATGTTTATCATTACATCGAAAGGCACCAAATTGAGATGCTTTTCTTTTATTTGATGATGGTTGTCCTGGCCCAAAAATAGCTTGATCTAAAAGTTCATAAGTCAGTCTATTCAAACATCAGCCATGCTTTGAATGTCCCACAGTGTTTACACTCTACAAACAAATTGTCAATATGCTTATTTCACTCAGCAGCCATTTTAAAAGACGAAAGAAAGAAACACAGAAGTATTCACCAAGTATTCGAGCAGATGAAGCCATTTGAATCTTTTTGGCTCAAGACTTCCGGTCTCATTTACTTCCATTCATTTTTAGACGTTAAAAACAGCTTGTTTCGCGGCTTGAAGTTGCAGGATCAGCACTGTAGGCATTGCGACAACATGCTGTGGACTACAAACCTCAAGCTGTTGCTGCCATTTCGAAGTGCAGATGCGGTGTAAACATCACTTTAATATCCTTCAGTTAAGTTTAATTTAATCAATTAAAAGCATATTAGGCATCAAACAAAGTCACAATCTCTTTAAGAGTATTACGCTTAGGTGTCCTCCTAGGTTTCAGTTCATGGCACCAGGTAAACACCATGGGGATGCTTCCTTGCTTTAGCCTATGTAACCAGGTGAGTGATTAATAATACAGTCCTCTGTAGCACACCCTTGTGTTGTCTGTAATTGGGTTGTCCTAGTACGGAAATATTAAAAAGTCAATTTCCCGCTAACATTTAAGTGCCGCTGGGCGCGTTCTTATACAGCGCTGTTTTGCCAAAGTATTCTGTGTTTGGCCGTGAAGGTCATCTGTTCTCCGCTCTTTACCGAGTGCAAATAAAGGGACACTAAATTGTTTTAAAGCTGTGAAGATCAGTCGAGTTGTCAGCGGATTGCTTGTCTGTGTTTGCACTCAGTAAACATTGTTAAGTGCGGTGAACTGATGACCTTCACGGTCAATCACAGTAATTTTTGTTGAAGTTAAGCAGGACTGAGCCTGGTCAGTACCACAAGGGAAAACTAGGTTGCTGTTGGAAGTGGTGTTTGTAAGGCCAGCAGGGAGTGCTCAACCTGCGGTCTTTGTGAGTCTTAATGCCCCAGTAAAAGTGTAGGGCACACTATACAGTCAGTGAGCGCCGTCTTTCGGATGAGACGTTAAACTGAGGTCCTGACTGTGTGTGCTCATTAAAAATCCCATGCCACTTCTTGTAAAGATAGGCGTGTAATGCCGGTCTCCTGGCCAAATTACCTTCATTGGCCCTTACCCATCATGGCCTCCCAATCATTCCCATTCCCTGAATCGGTTCTATCGCTGTGAGCACGCTGTTGGTGCTGTGGAAAGACCTTTCTCATGACTGTGAAGGGTGTATGGCCATACACAATAAAAGCACTATATAAATACACACATTACATTACACTGGTGAACACAATGGCAATTCAGCGGTGTTTAAAAACACCCTCAACAGTGCTTAAATGTTAGTGGAAAATTCTGTATCGTGACAAGTCTATTATAGTGAAAGAATCAGTTCATTAACCTGAGTTTGATAAATGGCATCTAAAACATGTGTTTGGGAAACAAATCTTTAGCTAACTAGTGCCATTTCACTTGACTTAGTTAAAAATGAGGTCTGATATCCCTTTTTATTTTTACTATCTATTCAAAACATACCTTTGGGTCACTATGAAGGCAGTGAAATTATAAATTTATTTCACTTTCTCTTCATTGACAATATATACAGCCATTATATATTATCAGTATATATACACAATGTTCCTGTGTAACTCAGGCGATACTTCTCGGTTTCTTCCTAACTGCAGACTTGATTTTGCTTTTAAAATTGCCTCTATCACTGTGAGCAAAATGGTGGTGGTGTGGAGAGACCTTCCTCATGATTGTGATGGGTGTATGGCCATGCACAATAAATGCACTGAGAATGCACAGGCGATACTTTTGGGTTTCTTCCTAACTGCAGCCTTGATTTTGCTTTTAAAAAGGCGGCCGCGTGAAACTATTTTTTTGCACATTGAACCGGAAAAGACAAGTTTGAAATAAGACACAATTCACTTTTGAGTTTGAAGGTAAATCCATACATCAGTGAAAATGACTGTGCCAGTCAATCATCCCTGAGTTCATAAGTGTACCATGATAGTCAAACTGGGAGCCAGCATAAACTTTTGTCAACCTCAAATCTTTCTTTTGAATTTCCCTCTCCGTTTTGCTTTCTTCCAACTTTTCATCTGTTCTAAATCATATGAGAGAAGGTTATCATCCTCATCTTGGTCATCATCTGTGTACCAGGGGCCCCAGACTCCCCCATTATACTGAGGATTGGAGCGATAGTCTTTGGGAGGGTAACGACATGGCACAGCATTCTTGCTGTACCGTAAAAGCTTAAAGAGCATCTTCTTAACCACATGTGGGTATTGTCGAGAAAGATCCACACGTTCATATGGATCGGCTGTAATGTTGAAGAGCCATACAGACTTGCCTCGATCCCAGCTCACACGCTCATTGTGCCAACGGTTGGCCAGCAGGAGTGTGGAGAAAGTCTGAGGTGGAATCCAGTCACTATATCCTGGCACACCAGTCAAAAGCTTCCAGTCACCTACACGGAGTGCTGCCTGCACGGCTGTGTTCCAAATTCCATAGCCTGCTTTCCAGGAGCCATTCTTGGCTTTTGTGTAGATGGGGTCTATGTTGTGGAGAATATCCAGTCGAGGTGAGGGACGTCCCTCGCTGATAGCTTCCCAGACATCATAACCATCAAGATTCTGGTTCTCATCAAGTGTACCTTCACCAAGCATCACCAGTGTTGGGTACCAGTCAGTAATATGTATCAGAGCCTTGCTTTTAGTGCCCTTTTTGACCAGTAAAGGGCTATGTACAAACCCTACTGCTCGTATTCCACCCTCCCAGTAGCTTCCTTTACTGCCCCTTAGCGGCCAATTGCTGCCTCCTGCCATAGGTTGGCCTCCATTGTCTGAAGAGTAGACCATAACCATGTTGTCATAATAACCATACTGCTTTAGGGCAAGAGTTAGATTGCGTACCGCCTCATCCAAGCAACTGACCATTGCTGCATACTTGCGACGATGCAAGTTTGGGATAGACTTGTAGCGTTCGAGGTAGCGGGCAGGAACCTGCAAGGGTGAGTGCACAGCCTGAAAGGCCAAATAAAGAAAGATGGGTCGTTTAGGGTTGTGAGATGCCAGAATGTTCACAGCCTTCTGCGTATACATGATGGTGGAATAGACGCCACGGTCCTGCTCCCAGGCAGCTTCTTCCCCCTCGTGAAGATCGTACCCACACAATCCTGGACTGTCACATTTGTAATGGCTGTAGTAGTCACCACTCCCCAACAAAGAGCCAAAGAAGGTGTCAAACCCACGCTGCGTAGGCATACATGCACGCTTGTAAAAGCCAAGGTGCCACTTCCCCACCATATGCGTTGAGTAGCCGGCGTTCTTCAGTTTCTGAGGAAGAGTGATGTTCTCCAAAGGAAGGCAATTCGGTTGAGTAGGTCGGATGATGGAATGCTGGAGGCCAGTGTGGATTTGATATCTAAGAAATAAACAGACACTAAATTAGTAACAACAGATGACAAGGAGCGAATAAAACTGACATTTAATCTTTATTTGAGATTATATATTGGCCTAAACTGCCCATCCAAATCAAGAAAAAGTGCAAAAACTTGAAAAAAATGACCTTTAAATGAAAGATAAAAAAAAAATCAAATGGAGTAAATGGATGAACATATATATGCTATCCTTAAATAATACGATTATATTTGTCCACTTACTTTAATATCACACTACTGTAGCTGTGTAGGAATTAGCCAGTTGTACTAATGGAAATAACCAGTATTAATCCATGATATGATCATATAACTTCTGATTAAAATCCTTTTTGATTCATGATTGAAAAGTCAACTATTAACTAGTGCAGGCAAACTGACCAAAATCTTTTATTAAACAAATGGTTACATGCACATTAAAGGTTCTTTAAAATGAAAAAACAAAAAAAACACTCTTTGCATTATTGAAATGAAAACGATTCTTTGAAACTTTACAATGTTCTTCAAATTAAAAATTGGATGGCTTGATCATTGGAAAAATTCTTTGGAGAAAGAGTAGATAGCAGAACACTGTAAAGTCAACATTTTTTGCACAGCAAATACAGCAAATATAAAATAATAGTATATATTACAGGTAATATGCTATTATTCAGATATTTTTTTTAACCAACTAACAGAAATATTTATATTTATTTAATGTACAACTATACTATGAACACAGTACATTATTATTAAGGCAAAAAGGAAAGGTTTTGTAATTGAGTTATTATTTTAAAAAAATAAAAATATAAAATTTTTACAATCAGATAGTAACATACTTTTAACAGCTTTTTGCCCCATATATTTCCCTCACCCTCAACCTGTTATTTGCACATCAGAAAACACAGAATAACTGTAGTTTAGACCAAGCAGGTAAATAAATTACATTAGATTTTACTTTCATATTATCATATGAGTGTTAAGTGCCTTTGATGTCACATATTGTCACAATCACCAGCGATCAAATCCTTACAGATCGTTGGTAAACACACAGATTGCATAGAACTACAAATCCGTCATTACATGAACTACAAGATTCAGTCATGCACCCCACACACACACTGTTCCTGATCCCGTTTGATTACACTCACACAGCTGAAGCTGCTCAAAGACTGATTAGTTTGTACTATTCATACAGCACAATAACACACAGTCTTTCTTTGCTCAGTCTTGTTATACTGTTAGTAAACATTATGACGCTTTTTACTTGTCTTGCTTTGCCGTGTTTTTTATAATTATACATTTTTGCTTTCACGCTTGTACTTAGTTATTTTAGCGAAAACCTCTGATACTGGCCACTTTTTTACCAACCAAGTTTGTCAATGCCATTATAATGACACAGATCATTCTACCTATTCTGCTTTCCATCAGCCAGATTATGGAGAAATTAATCCATTAATGTCAAAGTGCTTAGTCATTATAATATGGACTGTAAAACAACTTTACTACGTGCCTGTATTACAAATATATCATCCTCCTTAATAAAACCCTAAACTAATATACTATAAAATCTATAAAAAGTGATTGAAGTGAAAATATGGATGAAGAGTCCAGCACTGAAGAAAGAGGTAATACAAATAGTAAAATACTTTTCTTTTCTACCAAAAATCACAAACTTAAGCTGTAACAGGATCGTTGTAAAGTATTCAATGTAACAATCAGAGCAAATAATGACCAAATGCATATCATAAGATTCTTAAAAGTCAGAATTAAGGCAGGAATAGGACTGTAAAACTGAATAGGACAAGCTCAAAACAAATTTGTCTCTGTGAAAAAAACAGCAGTTATGATCCACCTACCGCACAATACAGTTCCAACCACAGCTTCATTCTTGCGTAGCATAACCAAATTTGCAAATATAAAACCCCAGCATATACTGTAGCTGATATTAAACTAAAAATTCCACTTACCACCATCTAAATGCCCCATAAGACATGGCCACAAAAGCCACCAGAAAATCCTAATCCTCTACCAACCTCAGCTGGAAGCCTTGCTGACCCATGTTCTTCTGCTTGCTCCAACATCCCTCCCACATCTGCTTTCAATAAGAGGGACATACTCCTCTCTACAGCTAATCAAATTCAGACCACAGAGCTTTAAAACATGCTCCCTGGTTCCCACTACACTCATTACACCCTCTTTCTCTTTTCAGTAACCAGTACACAGCATTAGACACTGACATACTCATGATATGATGTCTTCTTTATATCTAGTACTTATATTTAACAGTTCTATCTGGTTCTCGAATTTGATTAGTTGCCAACTGTGAATTATTCTACTAGAATCACTGTTAAGATTGCAGACATGGGTTTGTTTATTGACCTTATTCAACATGGATGAACGGGAGCAGCCATTGGACATCTTTTTGGCTCGAGGTTTCCGGTCTCATTCACTTCCATTGATTTCTTGATTTCTAAAAACAGCTTGTTATGCTGATTGATGTGCATTAAAGAATAATGTCAATGAGGATATTACTACAATTTGAAAATGTACTTTGGTGATTTTGGAGATGGAACTTCTGATGGGCATTTATTCAGAATAGTGGTTTATTGTGAAATGTAATTTGTATTTGTGGTATAAGGTTAGATTTTGTAGAAATCTTCTGCTATTTGCTCAACTTACAACAATTAGTTTAGCCAAAATTGAAAATTAAAATACAGTTGAAGTCACAATTATTATTATTGATAAATATTTATAAATATTAAATATATATTATATATAATATATAAATATGAAATATTTACCATATATTTACCAGCTTAAAGGGGCTAATAATTTTGAACTTAAAATGGATTTAGAAAGATTGAAAGCTGCTTTTATTCTAGCTGAAATACAACAATCAAGACGTTCTTCACAAGACAAAATATTATTAGACACACTGTGAAAATGTCCTTGCTCTGTTAAACATCATTTGGGAAGTATATAAAAAAAAATATATTCAATGGGGGCTAATAATTCTGACTTCAACTGTATGTGTGTATATATATATATATATATATATATATATATATATATATATATATATATATATATATAGTTAAAGTCAGAATTATTAGCCCCCATTGAATACTTCTTTTTTATATATAAATTCTGACTTTAACTGTATGTTAGATGCAATCCAAGAGCTCTTTGATCCTTCATATAAAGCAATGGTCCTGAGACATCCAATCTAGAAAACCAACCAAAAGTTTCTCATTCTAAAGGGAAAATTATCGCATTTTTATTTACTTAATCTTGTTTTATTCCACAAATATATTCAATGTTCTGTGATCTTCTGTGCTACAAATGAGTTGTGGACAAATATTTCAGACTAGTTTAGTGATGCTGTGATCGCACAGTTGCAGATCGCTGAGAATTACACACGCAACTTCCACCGTGTACCGCACACACACACACCGGCTTCTGATTCTGACTGATTACACACACAGCAGGAAGATCATTCTGTACTGATTTCTTGGACTGTAAACTCAGCACACACACATACATTAGGCCTAATTCTTGTTTTTTCACACACATTATAAAGTGTTTTCCTTTGTCTAGGCTTCCCATGTTTTGACTGTTTGATTCTTTGTCACCTAGCCTGAGCATTAGTCTATGTATTTTGACAACTTTTATTGGATACACATTACACATACACATTACCTACAATTGCCTGCATCACTTTTCTTTAAATAAACTTCACATAAAACCTCATCTACATTGTCCAGCGCCATCTGTTACAAGTGAATTGGGTCAACTGAAAAAATTTACATTTTCATCCAAACAAGGTCTTGATATTCAACAACTTTTTTTTCAGACTTTTTTAAAAAAAAAAGACTTTGGCCATTCATTCATTCATTTTCTTTTCTGCTTAGTCCCTTTATTAACCTTGGGTCGCCACAGCGGAATGAACCACCAACTTATCCAGCACATGTTTTATACAGCGATTGCCCTTCCAGCTGCAACCCATCACTGGGAAACATCGATACACACTCATTCACACACATACACTACGAATAATTTTAGCTTACCCAATTCACCTATATCACGTCTTTGGACTTGTAGGGGAAACCAGAGCATCCGAAGGAAAACATGCAAACTCCCCAAAGAAATGCCAACTGATCCAGCCGAGGCTCGAACTAGTGACCTTCTTACTGTGAGGCGACAGCACTATCTACTGCACCACCACGTCGCCCCTTAAGCCATTCCTTTAGACACATTTCCAAAGTGAAATATTTTAAAAGCAACTCAAAAAAATACAAAAAAAAAGTGTGATATCAGTTGCTTGCTATAAGTCTGGCATACTTGAGTACTTGACAACCAAAACAGCAATAGTAGACAACAAGACTGTGTTTGTGCTATTTGAGATTCTGAGCCACAATGATTCTTTGCATTCACCTCTGTGTAAAAGAATGTATATGTGTGCAGGCACGTACTGTAGTAATGACATCATCTACAGACTACTGGCCTGGCATGCATAATATTGCATATTTTGTTGCTTTTGAAGATCCATGTGAGCAGAGATCATTTAAACAACATCTGTACATGAAATGTTAAAAAAAAAAAAAAACATGGGTTAGGTTTGGGTTGGAATCAACTTTCCAATTTAGCACAAAGTTGTCAAGTCACCATATTCTATCTACCTAATTTTTTTAATTATCTCATCATCCTGCTATTACTGTAAATGTAAAAATGTTACTTTATAAACTGTAAAAAAAAACAATGTATATATATATATATATATATATATATATATATATATATATATATATATATATATATATATATATATATATATATATATATATGCAGTATATATATGCAGAATATTTGCAGACTCGATAAGTTTTCACGTATTTATATGAGCAATATCACATGAGCAGCAGTGCGATATGACTGTATAATGGCCAAGTGTCTTAGTGTCCCACCAGTGACGATATGCAGTCATATCGCACTGCTACGAGTGTGATACTGCACTTATACAACTGTTCAACGCCATAATCGTCTAAATAACCTTTTGTATGAGGAACTACTTTCTTCTGCTGTTTATTCACATCTGCAGCTGACATCAGAACAGCAGAAACTGTTGCTACTTTACAAATGTCACTTTAGAGCTAGTATTTGAATGATTCTCTAACGTAATGTCTGAAGTGATGACAAAACAGGTGATTTTGCTCACAGTTCAAGATTATAAGGCTGGATTTTCCAGTTTTTCTGTTGCAATCTGGATATCAAAATAATTATCCCCAAAAAAGGCAAAGCAAGGCAAACACCACCAGATTACTGTTGTGTTTGCGATTAGGACAAATGCTAAACATATGCGGGCATTTCTTCTTTCCTTCTGTTTATAGAACTAGTCTGCAGTGACGACAACGGGAGACTCATTAGAAACAGATGGCCAAACAGGGTTATGCAAGTGGCCAACACAAAATACGTATATTCCTAATATGTGAGTTCTATCTCACACTCAACACACTACAATGTCTATGGTTTAAATACAGCACTACAACATACAAAAAAGGGAGATCGACTTAGAAAGTCACTTACCAGTTTTATAATGATTTGATCAGCTGTAGTTTGAAATTACGCTGGGTTTTTCCTCCTCTAGGGGCTTATTATGCAGTCTCTGTCACCACCTTGTGGATGGTGTTGTATCTCCGAAATTATAAATATTCAAGATAGCCACTATCCTTAAAAATAAACTGCATAGTTGCAATCTAAACAACTACATTCTCAACTAAAAATGCTACAAAAGTACATTATGCTGTCCAACAGCTGCAATATTTGTCAAACTTCTGCTGTCACTCCATGTTGGAGTAATACAGAAGGGTGAGGAGGCTGTGTCTTCTGGGATTGCAGAATATCACACTGATTTCAGCTTGCTTTCAGATTCGAGAATCAGACAGAACTGTTGTATAAAACTTAAGTTAACATTTCTAAGTTATACAAGCCGTTTAAAATAGGCAAGTGAAATTTAAGTCAAGACGACAAAAATAAGGTTAATTTGACTCAACTTTAATTTAAACTTTAAGTCAGCCTTTTACTTTTTGTAGTGTCACAAAATTCATTCATTAATTTTTCTTTGGCTTAGTCCCTTTATTCATCAGGGGCTGTTACAGCGGATTGAACCGCCATCTTATCTAGCATATGTTTTACACAGCGAATGCCTTTTCAGCTAAAACCCAGTACTGGGAAACATCCATTCACACTCATTCACAAACCCATACACTACGGCTGTAACGACAGGGAGTGACACTAACAACAGAAGTTAAGATCCACATGCAGGTTTATTCAAAGCCAGGCAAGCGATGGTCAATTCAGGTGCAAACAGATATATGCAGACAATCCACAATCGAAGACGAATAACAGGCAAAAGGTCAAAAGGCAGGCGGCAGACAAGGAAAAAAGGATAAGCTAGGCTAATAATCAAAAACACGGCAAAGGCAGACAAAGAAACCACGTTGTAATGTCAATGTGACAGATAACAAGACTCGGAAAAGTGAAGGGGTGAATGTGTGGCTTAAATAGTGTGCGTTAATCAGTCTCTGAAAGTCCTCAGGTGGTGCGAGTGCAATCAGCCTAAATGAGGAAGCAGGTGTGTGGGTGAAGAGCATGTATGAAGTTGAAGTCCATTTACAAACACATTTGTAGTTCTGTGAATGAGAATGTTTTCCAGCGACCTCTGGTAGTTAGAGATCACTGGTGAATGTGACAACGGCCAATTTAGTTTATTCAATTCAGCTATAGCACATGTGTTTGGACTGTGGGGGAAATCGAAGCACCCAGAGGAAACCCACGCTAACACAGAAAGAACATGCAAACTCCACACAGAAATTCCAACTGACCCAGCCTGGACTAGAACCAGTAAACTTCTTGCTGTGAAGCAACAGTGCTAACCACTGAGCCACCGTACCACCCATGCTATAACATTCATTCATTTTCTTTTTGGCTTAGTCCCTTTATTAATATGGGGTCGCCACAGCAGAATGAACCGGCAGCTTATCCAGCATATGTTTTACACAGTGGATGCCCACCATAACATTTGTTTTCATATTTTTTATGCTTACTAAAATAAATTAACCATGCTTCAACCATGTTTTTTTGAAGCCATATGAGATTTGACTTGACGTTATTTTAAGTCAGCTTAAAGTGAAGTAGATTTAAAATAAGTTAACTTAAAACTAAGGCAGAATTAAATGTAATTAATTAACAGGGTTTTTTTATTTAACTTTTTACAGTTCAAGCTAGTAAGCTGAATCTGTTGTGTTGAATAAAGTACAAAGATAAGAATCCTAAGGGCGCAGTCCTATTTACTATAATGTGGTGATGATAGATGGCAGTTTGATGAAGACCAGAATGTAATTATAGCTTATCTCATTTGCTTTGCTTGGCAGTTTTTTGGCTATAGTTGGACTGTTTCTTATACAGGGTGGTGGTCAGAAAATGGGAATTTTGACTCGTAACAAAATGTACGCTTTGGCAATTGTGTCACCTGTTTATAAGCAATCCGAGCAAGCATTTTTTCCTTTTAAAAGATGTCTAATAGATGTCTAATAGGCGTCTAAACATAGCCAAAATTAGACAGAAATGAATGACTACACATATAAAGTCTGTCTAATCTGTCTATTTGACCACTAGTCTAGTTTTGGGCTATTCTTTGATGTCTATTAGACATCAATTAAACACAAAACTGTTTGCTTTGATTTTAATTTCAATGTTACAAAATGCTTCACACAATCTTAAATTTACAAAATCTATAAAGCCAGAACATCTAACAGACTTGAAGGATTATGAGAAGTTCGTCTCTTTTATCAGATGGTAGTGATTACCTTAAAAGGGTAAACTCTAAGCTTGTTTATACGGGCAGATGTGATGTTTTTAGACTTCTGATCTAAAGGGATCGGATTCAGGCACCCATCAGAGAACCATAAAGCTTTCCAACAAAACCGTGACCACTGCCTATTCCTCTCACATTCAGCATTTAGACTGCTGTCTCATTATTAGGAAATGGCGTAGCAGAGGCCAAGATAAACATCTCAGCCTTTTTGTCTGTAATGTAATCGTTTTAGCGAAGAGAGCTTTAGAGATTAAACAATCCACAGGCTGAAAATTATGAAACTGTTAATTCATAAAAGAAGCATTAAAACCTTTAGTCCATTTCTTAAGATAAAAAATGTCAACATGTATCAAAGAGCTTAATGCTAAAGTGAAAAGGGTGGAATGTTGTCTTTAGCTCTCTGATAAATGCAAATAAAGTCATTTAGACTTAGAGTTGTCCCTGATTGCGTAAGAGTTCTTCCTAATTCTTCTCCATGGCATAAAATCATCAATCAAAAGCACTGTACTTCTCAGTTTACACTGTTAGTTACACCAGTTAATTTGTCATTTTACACTGAGAATAGAAAAGTCTGAAAGCCAGGATTACAATAAACAGGTCACTTTTACATTTAGTCATTTAACAGACGCTATATCCAAAGCGCCTAACAAATCATGTACCACCATAGGAACTCTACAGAGCTGTTTGATATGTCTAATGGTTTCTGACTGTTCTGAACATCCTTTGAAGTGATCTACCATATATCACCCCAAAACCTCTTTACAGGCAAGAAACCATTCTGTTTAGCACGTTCATTGTAAATGAATGTGGGGAGGGGTTGATTCATTCATTGCTTCCAAAGCAAATTACCAAAAGAGATTCCTAGCAACCTTCCTGTTTTCTGAGGCGTGGACCAGATGTTTCATGACTATGGGAATGGTGGTGTCAAGCATTCAACACTATTGTGGGTGGAGAACATGCAAGCTCACACACATACACATACACATGCATGCACACACACACACACACACACACACTAAAAAATAATCCAGAAAACTAGCTAACTTGTACAATAAACTATTCTGCCTCAATAGTATGAGTATAATTGTAAAACTATTGAACTATTGAAAAATTAGTAAACAGATTTTTGTATGTATTTATATGAAAAAATAAGTTGTTATAGCATACTGCCTATGAAGTAATGTATACCTAATAGGCATTAATTTAAAGCCGCAATAAATGCACATGCAACATTTCAGTGCCATGATTTAATCACATAACATTTATTATAAAGACAAATAAGCTCACAAATAACATTTCTGCAAAGTAAATTTTCTAATTTGTATAGGCTAGTTTGTTCAAAGTAACGACGAAATCCAGGCTTATCCATTTGTTGATTTTTTTTTTAAATCTTTTACGGTTTTTCTAACAATGTAATGCACTTTTCTAATTTAAACTTACTGATGTTTAAAAACAAAGTAGTAAAAACAAACAAAAATATTTTTAAAAGTGTACTAACATTTTGGAAGCAATAGATTTGTAATGTCATCATTAATGTCCCACCTGCCGGTCATCAGCTGGCTCCTGGACGGGCTACACAGAGGCTGCACATAGTAATTCTCCAGCTTGACTCCTGCTGCAGCGAGCCTGTCCAGCGTTGGGGTCTTAATTTCGGACCCATGATACCCTACGTCTCGAAATCCTTGGTCATCAACCATGATAAAGATGATGTGAGGCTGCGAGTTCGGCTTGTCCATGTTGTTCACAAGATTCGACTGGAAACCGCTCTTCCACGTTCCGTATGTTGAGCTGACAATGCAGCTAAAAGTAGTCAAAAGCGTTAAAAGAAAGGTACTTTTTTCCATTTGTCCGTGCGTTGACAGTGACCCCATCCACTATAATTTCCCCAATAAGTAAGATTTGCGAAGTTGTAGGCAAACTGAAAATACCAGGTCCCACTATTTTACTCGTGTCACAGCGCAAAATAACACCGCTGCATGTCATGTTATAGGATGGGATACTGGGGAAACAGACGCGCTTGGAAATTAGGTTCGCAATTTGTTCTACCCTGTCATCACTAACATTGTTAAAGTATTGTAGCCTTTGTACGGACTTGAATGCTGCTGCGCCGTGACCATCTATTTCTGTTCAATATTGTTCGCATATAACATTTTAAAGGAACAAAGCAATCATTTTACCAAGCAAATAAAAGCGAATTTTATAGTCTAGTTAGAGCAACATTTTCTAAGAAAGTCGTTTTGTCGATGTCGATACCTCCGCCTCCACAGACAGCGCGTCCCTGTCTCATCTTTCGCAAAAGTTTACTCTTCAGTTCCATACAGAGATGTCCAAGTCGCGAATGAATCGTTTTGAATTGAATCTTTCTAATGATTCAGTTGAACAACTGGATATGTCTACTGACTTTTATTTTTTAAATGTATATTTAAGCCTACCATTATAAGTAAAATAATCTACAGCTTTATAAAAAGCAGTGTGATTTGATATTTTAAAAGGAACAAAACGTATTTAAGTTTTGAAACACGTTTAAGTGTTGAATTTCAGATGCAGCAAAATCAGTAAATCGCTTAAAAGAACCGGTTCACTAAAATGAATGGGACTTCCCAGGACAGCTTTATGGAGAAACACACAAGATCTGGGTTCGTGGTTTAGTTACACCTATAAGACTATGTAATGCTGTTCTTTTTATACAAAATAGGAAACACCTAATGCCTACAGAGAAGCTGTTTAAATACATAATTGTTATGTAGCCTAGTCCAAGTATTGCTTCCTTACCGACTGCCTGGTTAAAATCACGTAGACTGCTTCCCAAAAGTTGAAAAATATATACCGGCCACTTTATTAGGTACACTTGTCCAATTGCTTGTTAACGCAAATTTCTATTCTGCCAGTCACATGGCAGGAACGCAATGAATTTAGGCATGTAGACATGGTTTCTAGATGACCTGCTGCAGTTCAAACCGAGCATCAGAATGGGGAAGAAAGGTGATTTAAGTTACTTTAAATGTGCTGTGGTTGTCGGTGCCAGCTGGGCTGGTGTGGGTATTTCAGAAACTGCTGATCTACTTTTTTTAGAGGGATTTTAGAGGCTACAATTCGCACAGGCTCACCAAAATTGGACAATAGAAGATTGGAAAAATGTTGCCTGGTCTGGTCTGGGTCTGCTGTGACATTTGAATTGTGTCAACAACATGAAAGCTTATCCATCCTGCTTTGTACCAACAGTCCAGGCTGATGGTGGTGGTTTAATGGAGTGGAGAATATTTTCTTGGCAATTGAGCATAGTGTCAATGCCAAAGCCTAGTATTGTTGCTGACCATGTCCATCGCTTTAAGACCACAGTGTACCCATCTTCGAATGGCTACTTCATAGAAGGATAATGCGCCATGTCATAAAGCGTGAATTATCTCAGACTGGTTTCTTGAATATGACAATGAGTTCAGTGTACTCATATGGCCTTCACAGTCACCAAATCTCAATCCAATAGAGCACCTTTGGGATGTGGTGGAATGGGAAATTCGCATCATGGTTGTGCAGCCAACAAATCTGCAGCAACTGCGTGATGCTATCATGTCATATTCAGACCAAAATCTCTAAGGAATGTTTCCAGTACCTATAATATTAGTTTAGTCATATTCATTAACAAAGAGATATCTGGATGCAGACCTGGTGAAGTGCAATTTGGGCTGCATCTAATGCTTTTTAATGGGCTCACCTAACCTAACCCCTAACCCTACCCCTCACTGTGACGTCACTAGCTCCATCTGAGTGCATTGTGTCTGACATTGCATCGCTGAGTGATGCAATCTCAGCTTGCATCATAAAGGCTGTATCCATATTATTGGGTACTTTAGAAACTGAACTGGTGTGAAACCCAAAATCATTAAGGATTGCTTTCTGTTTTTTTATGATTTTATTGTTTAGTTAAATTCATATTCCCCTTGATGTTTAAGTTATATGTATTACATTTGCTGAAATTCATGATTCCAGTCAGTCTGAGCTGTACCTTTGTGTTGCATTATGTTTGCAGTTCTATTGCATTAATAAAAAATCTTTTCCTTTTGTCAAGTACAGTCAGATGTTATGATAATGTATAATTTTCCAAACTCTCTTTATTTCCATGTCAGAACAATGAATAGATTTTCCCATCGCGTTGCTCATAAAAACTAATACATCCTGAGGAAGGAATCTACAGTGTTTTGCCTTGGCCTGATTTAAAAGAAAAAGAGGCATCTCAAAGGACTTTTTGTACTAAACCACATCTCCATGCAGTAAAATACGATACAGTACTGAGTGTGCCATACTTTCACACATAGAATTTAGGCACTTCAGAATATATTTTCTTAGTCAAAAAAGTCTGATATTCAATATTCAATAACCCTTTTTATTATAGCGCCTTATTTAAAAGGCGTAAGTATTCTGATAGTACTCCATGAGGATAACAGGTATATTTAAAAGAGAGATTTTTGTACATATTGTCTTGATATTAGCAGTAGTAATTCACTTTACACTCAGTGCTCAAAGTCCAGTTGTGCTCACTTTTTTTTTCTCTTTTAAAAGAGCTGATTGGTTTTCTGAATTCTGTAATGCTCAGAAAAGTCCCCTGCAGCCAGAGCCAGCCTGCAAGATGGGGAACTGAGCCATGGAAATCATGCTGAGTGCTAAATTTTGGCATGTTTGCAGTGTTAACACATTCACTTAATTCAGAAACAATGCAGAAACCATATGCAATTCAAAGGTGTATCAGGGGCAGCAATTAATTCTCTCTAAGTGTACTTCTTAGTTGATCATAGTAAGCACTGCAATTATCCTGTACCACAGAAAAAACACAGAAAATCCACACTTTTAGAAAGATACAGAAGCTGTCATTGTCACTTCAAAAGTGCCCTTAATGGTACATGAAAGGTACATTTATTTGTAATATGTACCTCTGAGGTACCAATATAGACACTGGTTACATTTTTTTGAAAAGGTATTGCCCTATTGATGGCTCCTTTATTTCTGTGGAGGTTCTGCAAATATTCTAAAGTACGTAAATTCATTTTTTTAGCAAATGTTTACATAACAAAGTTCTCAGCGACAAGTGCTGTATGAAGCACAATAGCTTTCTGTTGGTCAGTGTGGCAAATTCACCGGTAACACTTCATTTTGATGGTCCATTTGAGTTTTAGTAGACTGTCTGTTAATATCTGTTGATACTGTTCCTTCAACAGACATTTAACTGACTATAAGAAACTTTGCAAGTACATGTTAATTTACACTAACCCTAACCCCAACCTAACAGACTACTTAAAATCTAATAAGAATTAGTTGGCATAGATGCAATGCATTCTTTCACAAATTTACTAAGGCCTAAGTCAAATCTTCATCTTAGAATTATAAGGTTCTGTCTGGCATTTTTGTCTAAACTGAATTATTGACATATTCTTATTAAATGACAAAAAAAAAAAGGTTTCAAATCTACAAAGTCCAACTCTAGATTGACTCTATAAAGTTCAAGGACAAATCAGGATCAGCTTTCTTTATCATTTCACCACTCTGCTCAGTTGACAGTGGTAAAGAAACGCAAAACCAGAATCGACTAAATAATGTTGTGCTATACAAAATTGAGAAGAAACCTCCCTGTCTGAGTATTTCATAGACAATCTTGTCAAGAACAGCAGTCTAAATTCAAAAGCAGTCTAAATTCCACATAATTTTGTTTCCTGTTTGTGTTATTTTGATATAGTTTTGTTTCTTCATTTCATAAATATGACCATATTAATTTTAAAAAATTGCTACATCTGCACTGGACAAAATATTTAGCACAGCTTTGTATGCTTATGTAGCGCCACCTAGGTGTATTAAGTTTAAGATAGCGCTCCAGGTTCAATACACTAAACGCCAACAAATATGTTGAAGTAGGCCCCTCTGATATATTTCAATGACGTAATGTAAATAAGTCAGATGAGAATACAAATATTTGCTGTGTTTTAATAAATTACTAGAAATAAACTCTTTGAACAATAAAACTCTTAGATAAATCAGAAAATATAAATAATTTAATTAGAATAGAAATGTAAACATTGGGAAAAACCCCAGATGCAAAACAAAATACAAAATATAGAACTTATGCACAGCTAAAAGACAGCAAAATGACCCAAAGTCAAACCCAGCAATTTACAGTACAATGAAGAATATCAGTTAAACCAATATAGAAAAATACCACCTTTCTACACTCCAACAATCAAACCTACAAATCAACAAGTGACCAAGAGTGACTGAATATGTTTCTCTTTGAAAGTGGCCACAATTGTGTCACTAAAGCCACTTTTCCACTATCGTGCTGAATCGTTCTTTAAACAGAACTGTTCCATTCCGTGCCAAACCGGGCCAGACAGCACGGATACGGTTTCATTTTCCACGGTCGTGCTGCGACAAAGCTCTTTAAAACATTACACAAAACGCATCAGTAGTTGCCTTGGTAACACAATGTAAACGGCTCCCTTTGTTCAATTAAAGTTAAATAAGAGCCGAAACTATTTATTTATTTTTTCATAAAAGCAAAAGCAACCATGTGACTAAACACTGTTATGCCGCTCTATCATATAGGGGTGCTAAATATAGGTACATGTGCACCCTTATTTATTCATATCTTGCGCAGCTCTGGCTAAATTTTATTTGGAGGGAAAATTACCAAAATGTAACGTGATGATTGAAAATAATTGTAGGGGAAATAAATAATATTTAAAATCTCTGAACATAACAGAAAAATAAACAATGATAAGACAACAATAATAATGCATTTGCATTATAGTGGCAGAAATATAATTTTGGACAGGCCTTGTCAAAGGTGAGCGGGCACTTTCACTAATAAAAACACAGCACATAAATTATTTCATTTTTAACAATTAATTAAATTACACTGCATTTTTATATCAAAAGTTGATAATGATATAAAATATACTACATTTTGATGGTAAAATGAAACCAATTAAGCGATGGCTGTTACTTGTTTTACTATTCAAACATTAAATAACGAATGCAGCAAGTGAAATAAAAAACGAATATGAAAATATATCGCAGGATTTAAAGCATATAAAGCACTTTTATATTTAGCAAAATGATGCTCTATTATCTTTTTATTTTGATCATTTTATTTTTATTATTATAATTATTTTTGTGTTCATAATTAACTAACAAGCTGTAGGCGAATTATTGCTAGACGTTTTAGAAAATATTTGCGTAGCTATATAAAAGATCACTAAGAACAAAAAAAACACAGAAACATGTTACATGCCTCATAAATGTCATATAACTTATGTATAATTGAATCATATAATGGCCTATAGCTGAAATGATGAAAATTGCTCATTTTATTTTTATAAAACATTTGTCAAAACGTATTGATATTTTTTGAGTAAAAGCAATACTGACATTTAAGAATCCATATTTATTTAATTCATTCATTCTTTTGACTTGTTTATTAGTGCATATGCTATAATATAAATCATACAACAG